CAGCTCCCCGCCCGCAGCCTGGCCTCCGAACTTGCGTGTTGAGTATCAACCTCACTTAACCCGTGTCCTGCTACTGGGTACTGAGCTTTAGTCTTCAGCGCACAAGTTCTACATCCACAAGGAAGGCAGGTTAAAGCAAGGGCCTTCCTTGTCTGTGTTTCCCACACCCTCATTGCCGAGACCAGGAAGCTACACCTCCCGGCGAGTCCGCCATTACATGTCCAAACAGGACAATTCGGGGGGAAATGGGGAGAGTTAACAGTGAGCGTCAGGCACGTCGGCTGCATGTGCTTCTGTGCAAGGCAAACACTTATCTTCTTGCATCACAGCTGGGTACACCTCTGGTTCCATTAACGCTTTATTTTGTGACTTTCATCAGGTATTCAGTCTCTTCGGCTCATTAAAGTATTTATCTTCTAAAAAAGCTCATAAATATCAGCTGATATTTTTTGAAAATTTTTAGTTTTTTTTCCCCCCACAGGAAGATATACACTGAGTGGCCAGATCATTATGACCACCTGAAGTTTGTAGGCAAATTAGCTATAATTTCCCACTGAAGGTGCTAGAGGGCCAGATCATTATAAACGTCTGAATAGCACAACATACCTAAGTATCGCTGCTGATCAAGTTCATCCTATCATGTTGATGGCGTATCCCAATGGAGATGGCTTCTTCCAACAAGACAGTGCGCCATGCCACGGTGATCATATTGTGCAGGAGCGGTTTCAAGAACATGAGGGAGACTTTACCTTGCTTAGGTGGCCCCCATAATCACCAGATCTCAATCCAATGGAGCATTTGTGGGACGAAGTTAAAAGAGCCATCAGGTAGCTGGTTCCACAACCATCAAATTTCACAGAACTGGACAGTGCTATTCATCAGGCATGGTGTCGGATTCCTCGCATCACCTTTCAACATCTTGTGGAGTCAATGCCAAGAAGAATCATCGCAGTATTGAAGGCAAAAGGTGGCCCAACGAAGTACTGATGGGATGGTCATAATAATCTGGCCACTCAGTGTGTGTGTGTATCTACTAATAAAGGCCTATGTGGTCGTGACGCCCTCATACCATCAGGCCCTCACGCCTAACAACCCATCACCAGGAGGTTGCATGTGCAGCGGGCGTGAGTGGGTGGGCAGGACTGAGTCCCGGCGGTGACTTGACCAGGAGGTGCATCGGGGGAGCAGATGGCGGCTGCTGCTGCCACTGCCCAGGGCCGGCCCAAGGCTCAGTCAAGCTGCAGTGGTTGCGAAGCCCAAGGCTCAGGCAGCCTTGCGGCTGGCAGTGGAGCAGCCGAGGCTTGATGGGGGCACCGCCTTCCCACGATTGGCCTGCGGCCTCCCACAGAGTCGTCAGCAGGATGTACTCTGAGGGCTCTTGGACTGTGAGAGGGGGCAGGCTCGGCTGAGGGACTGCCCCCCTCAGTGCACAAATTTTTGTGCACCAGGCCTCAGCACACACTCATATAAATATTTATATAAAGATATAAAGGAAGATGTATATTTATATATATATATACACAAATAATTAGATATTTAGCTAAAATGCTCCTTTATCAAACTGTTCAAACACTTATCATAAATCCTGTTGTATTTGCATCAAGAATTATATCATCACATCTGATGAAATGACATCAAGATGCTAAAATAAAGAAGAGGAGGAGGGAAGAGCCCTGATTCCCGGTTAGATTTCCACTCAGTACCTGGAGCTGACAGTCAGCCAAGGAAAACGGGTGTTTCAGCTCAAAGGCATCCCTGGCTGTTCCTTCTGCAAAGCAATTCAAGGGTGACTTTGCTTTGCAAAAGGATGACTTTGAAATGGAAAACCTGTGATGTCACCAGGACGCCCAGGGGAGGCGGCACCGCAGAACTAGGTGGTCCGAGTGGTGGAAAAAGCCTGCTGTCCCCGCCCCTCTTGACAGAACATAAAGATTTGTCTGGTTATAGAACCACCTGATGGGAGTGACACACATTAACACGGGCCCAGGTGCCCAGGCCCCGAATCCAGCCCGACGTGGGGAGGAAACGGAGGAGAGGCTCCGAAACCCGCCTGCCCTGCCGATCATCTCTCTGTGCTGTGGGCTCGGTGTGGGCCCCTCCGAGCGCCGCCCGGATTCACAGGACAAGGGCGTTTCCATCCCTGGGAACCACGGATCCCCCAGGGACATCACAGAGGATGTGGCTCCCTCCTCCTTCCTCTCCCGTCTGAAAGGAGCCTGTCCCCGTGGTAGCTGCACTGTGAACTCTGAGGGCCAGCAGCACACAGTGGGCCTCCTCCCCCGCCCCCTTTCCAGACCGCCTCTGGGAGGAGCCACGTCAGACACAGAATGATAAGAAACCCTCCTTCCCACCCATGACCCTGGGGTCAGAAGGCCAGGTTCGACCCTCAGCTTTGCCAGTTCTCTCTATATATTTATTCATGTCAGAGAGGAGGGGAGAGGGAGAGAGAGAAACATCAATGAGAGAGAATCATGGATCGGCTGCCTCCTGTGCGCCCCACCCTGGGGATGGAGCCCACAACCCAGGCATGTGTCCTGACCAGGATCGAACCGTGACCTCCTGGTTCATTGGTCGATGCTCAACCACTGAGCGATGCTGGCCAGGCGATGCTCTATGATTTTTTTAAAAAAAATGTCACAGAAGTTGAGGACTGAGATCTGACCTCTAAAATCTACTACCCTGGAGACGATGACATCATGGAAAGAGCGCCTGAAAGTTCTCAGTAGTTGAAATACTTCCCAGGAAGAGGAGACTAGCGAGACCACATCTTTTTCCGGGTCTCAGGAGTTTCCCTGAACTTTCTGTCCCGTGTCAGAGGCAGCTCGGCCTCTCCTGGCCAACACCTACCTGCTCCGTCCCTCAGCCCCTCAGGGACATGCCTGTGCCTGTGCCTGGAGCATCAAGGTCACTAAAGGTGCCTTGACATTTAACTAGAACCGTGCTGGCTTCCTCGGCACAGAGGGACTGGCTCAGAGACAACACCAAACTCACTGGCCCCACGAGGAGGTACGCCAGCGCGGGCGCTTTTCTTTCCAGCTTCCTGTTGGCTCAACGGTAGGCCAGTTCGTCAGGGACAGCGCTGGGTTCCCTGCGACCCCGGTGGCTGGCGGGTCTGCGGCCGGTGACCTCCTCGTACAGTGTGGCCCGTCGTGGTCTGTCTGGAAAGCCCTGGGAGTTCTGCCTCTTTTAAAAATTAGCAGCTACTGTGCATTGGTCACTTCCAGTTGCCAGGAGCTGAGAAGGCCTCTGCATGCATGAAATCTAATCTCCACGACCTTCAGAGCGGGTCCCTGTGGAAGGCCCAGGAGGCAGATGGGGACACGGCAGGGACTGGCCGACTCCATCAAGTTCAATGGTCACTCATCAAGTTCAGTGGTAAAGAACAGGTTTAACCCAAGAGCAAAGCATTTTGGCATCACCCCCAACCCTTACGGTGGCTCCCACTTCGATCTCAAAGCTGAGAGAGAGAGGGGGGAGGACCGAGTTTGCCTGCGTGGCTCCAGGTGAGGTTCAGCCTGGAAGTCACTGGGAGCATCTGCCCAGCGGCCTTGCTCCCGGAGCCAAGTTCCTCTTGTGCAGCAGCAGCTCTTCCCACTGTTTCTCATCACTCTTCCCTCTGGAGAGGCCTTCTCCCGGGACATGAGGACATGGGGACATGGGGACATGGGGACATTGTCTCCAGCTGGGCAGTGGCCGCGGGAGGAGAGCGGGGGCCGCGGGAGGAGAATGGGGGCCAGAAGAGGAGAGCGGGGGCAGAGAGATGTTTAAAAGCTGCGTGTGGAGACCCTCCCTTCTGCAAAGTCATCGAGTCTCCAGGCGGTGACTGATGGCTCCTTATCTCAGGAAATGCTCGGGCCAGTGGGCTGTGGCCACCAGTGACGAGGCAGCTTCTCTTTTGTTCTCCACACCTCAAACAGGACGCGGGGAGGTCGTGGGAGCGGGGTGGGCGGGGGGGGGGTCGACTCCAGGAGGCTGGGGACCCAGCAGGAGGCTCAGGGGAGCTGTGGCCGCCAAGTCTGGGGGCCTGGCTGACCCGCTTCAAGGAGATCTGGGAGGGAGCAGCCGCCTGGGCTGAGAGGGGGTTACAGATCCACGGAAGCAACTTTAAATCAGCCACGGGAATGGCTAGACTTTCACACCTGACAGTGCCCAGTGCTGCCGGGGAAGGGGAGCCGGACACGCAGGCCCCACCGCTGAGCAGACACTGCTTCAGCCACTTCCCCGGAGACGTGCATGTTCCTCACAAAGTGAACATGCCCCCTGGCACAGGGCCTTTTGTTTTTTTAATCCCTCACCCAAGGATCTTTTTCCCATTGATTTGTTTAGAGGGAGTGAAGGGGAGGGAGGATGGGGGGGGGGTGTGGGGGGTAGAGAGAAACATGGATGTGAGAGAGGCACATCAATCGGTCCCCTCCCACATGCACGGGACTGAGCCTGAAAGCGAGGAGGCACACGGTCTAAGGGCTGACACTCTAACCACTGAGCAAAACTGGCCAGGGTGCAATTCCCTTCTTGGACAACATGGGTTCGAGCCACGCAGGTACACACTCACATGTGGATTTTTTTCAATAAACACATTGGGAAAATATTTGGAGACTTGCAACAATTAGAAAATTATTGCAGATTCACATTTTCTGATGATCACTGCAGTTAGATAACCACGTATGAAAGGAACCCTATTCAGCCACTTAAAATATAACGTGAAATAAGCTGATTACAACCACGACCACAGTGATATATCTCGGACAGAATGAAGTCACGAGGGGGGTGGTAGGGGAAGGACATGACCTGTTTGCAATTTATTCCTAAGTCCCAGTGAAATCCCCGTCAGGATTCAATCCTATAACTAAACTCTAAATTGAAAATCTCAAGTGGAACAGGTACGTGCTTTGGCGTTCCCTTGTCACCGTAGGAGTAGTTCACACATGTGCAAAGCAAATCGTTTTCTTCAAAAAGAAAACTGTTTTCAAATGACCTTTTATGAAACGGAACCTGCTCACCTCTTCGCGGTGGTTCTTAATCGGCATACAGAGGATGCTCTGTGTCCGGTAGCCGGTGATCTGGTCAACCTCTGCGTTGAAGCGAGGGTCCTAGGAAGGAAAAGGAAATTCGCTTTAAGGACTGACCTGGTCAGACACTGATTTGATTCTCTCGATGGATAAGGTTAGAGAACTCTAATCGTCAGCTTTCCTTGCTGCTCTGCACGCCGATCTTATTGTCGGAAGAGGCCTCAAATCACGTAAGTTCGTATCATTCTTGACAAAGATAAATCTAAGTCTTTTTGAGATGCTAATGTGTATGAGAACCAAAAAAAAAAAATACAGACTCAAACAACATGTTCAGAAATAAAGGAAATTCAAAATACTAACGGACTTTGGCAGCCTTAGTTACGTCCCGGACATGGGGCGGCTCCGAACCTGCATGAAGCTTGCCCGTCCCATCGCGCTGCCGCATTTTTCTGAGCCACCCCAGGCCCAGCATCGCGGCTCTGAAACCACCGCCCCCCACACGACCTTCCCAACATCGCCTTCACTTCCCGGGTGACGATGGCTTACACGTTTCCTCAGCATCCTGCTCTACTATCTCAGGGGTTCACACGAATTTAAATCTTATCCTTTCTTCCTTTTTTTAATATGTAAAAAAGCCATCTGGCCCTGGCTGGTGTAGTTCAGTGGTGAGAGCATCAGCCTGCAGACTTGAAGGGTCCCAGGTTCGATTCCAGTCCAGGCACATACCTTGGTTGCAGGCTCCTCCCTAGCCCAGCCCTGGTCTGGGCTCCTCCTGCAGAAGGCAACCCATCAATGTGTTTCTCTCACTCGCATCAATGTTTCTCTCTGTCTTTCCCTCTCTCTTCCACTCTCTCTAAAAATTAATGGGAAAATATCCTCGGGTGAGAATTAAAAAAAGAAAAAAAGCCATCTGGCCTCAATCACACTGCAAACAACTCCTTAATCTTTTGAATGATTTTCCCTTTTCATAAAGTACACCACACACGTCCAGTAATCACAAGGGACTCTGGGAGGTGCGACAGGCCTAAATGTTGGTGGAGAAAGACAGGTACAGGCTGTTGGCATTAAGCTTTAGGCGGGGAGATGAAAGGTAGGCTGTCCATCCCAGGAGTGGCTGTGCCTGGTTCATCGGTGCGGTCCCATAGTCGCACAGGAATCCACAGCTTGTGCTAAATTAACGAGGGACTTCATTCACCCCCGGCCTCATCCTTATCAAACGCGGTGACTCTCAGCTTGCTATCCTTCAAAGCAGAGGCGGAGGCGGTGCTGGTGGGAAAGCATGCTGGCGGAAATGGACAGATACCGCCATACGGGGTGAGGTTCGAATGGAAACACACATACCAGAACATAAACACTGGAATGAGTGCAGAGCGTGGCCTGGGAAGTTATAGGCTCAGCCTAATAATAGCATCGCTGCTCTCCCACGCCGCGTCTGGAATTCCTTCAGAGAATAGGGAAGAGCCACGCTGGAAGGTCACTGCTATGTTCTGTCGTTAGTCTAAAGCCGTGCAAAGCCGAAGCTGTAAGTGAAGTAAATGATTGCACCGGATTCACCCAATTGGGGTCAGAAAGGAGGCCAATTTCCCCTCCGAGAGAACCAAAGTTGGCATTAAAGACAATTTCAAAGGGAAAGTTATGAAATGGTAGATCATCGGTCTATATTATATTATAAGTAGTCACTACTGTATCTGTGCCTTCTTCTTGCAAATAAGCTGAAAGTTATATGGAGACACAGTGGAAACCTTGGCCGAGAGAAATAGTTCTTAAATGACACTGAATTGCAAAGTATCTGAAGAAGGCAGACAGGATACGGACATTGACGAATTAAAGAAGCAGAGAATGAGCTCTTGCAGGGAGTTATTCTGTAAGCTAATATCAAAAGTGAATAAAAAGGCACCGTCGCAGTTGTTTTGTTAATGAAGTAGGAAGCTCTGAGCGGCTGGCCCACACAGGGCAGGGGGTGGGGCTGGGAGGGGTGCACAGAGCAGGGTCAGGGGACTGAGTGGCGATTCACGTCAGACAGGCTGAGAGGCCTGTCAAAGCGACCCGCTGCTGGCTGAGAGCAGACAGTGACACGGGTCTGGGGGGGGTTCAGACCCTGGGAGGGGACCCCGCTCAGCACTCAGGCACTCAGCGGAGACACAGCAAGTGTCCTTAGGAGCAACGACCAGGCCCTGGATCGACGCTACCCAGGAGGGACCGTTCACAACACAGCTGGCTGCATTCTTCTAAAACACCAAGGCAGATAGAGAATCAGGGAGAACGCAGCCCGGAGTTAAAGGAGACTAAGGAGATGCCCGGTGTGTACAGGGCGTGAGATGAG